AATAAAATAAAAAATAAAATTGGGCCTGCTCGTGCCAAGCCTGCACCCTTGGGTTTAGAGAACCAGGCATACGCGTGTACGGACTGGACACGCATAAGGTAACCCCCTTTTCTTTTAAAGAAAAATTGAAATGACGGACGAAACTTCAATCGACTACAACTTTTAGCCAAGCAATGATCACCAGAAACTTGTTGAAAAATTAGGGCACCATATTTCGGCCTTTAAAAACCAATTTCACCATTATTTTTGGCCAAAACATCTCAAAATTACTGGAATTAACTCAAAATACTTGTTTGATTTAATACTCTTAAAAAAACTCAAAAATGCAAATCAGATTGAACGATTCAAAATATTTTAGGATCTGGTTCTCCTTTCTCCAATTATTACATATCTTGAGACTACCATCAACAAGTCTCCACTTCAATATGAATAAATCGAAGCCAAAATCAGCAATTGAAGTGATTGGAATGAATTTTGTTGTGAGTTTTTCTCTTTTTGTTTCTCTCTATATCTGAAAATCAAATTGCAATATAGTTAGGAATGAAAAAAAAATGCTTTAGAAAAAAATTGTGACCGCATTGCAACAAAGGCCAAAAAACATAATAATGCCATATCAAATGCCTAAATAAAAATAAAAAAATCACAATAGTGCCATTAAATATAATAATACTAAGTGAATAGTGCTTATGAGTTTGGATGATTAATAAGTGAATAAAAAAATAAATATGAACGAATAATAAATAAATAGTACGAGTAAAACTTCCATAAATTAATATTGTTGGAACCATGAGATTTTATTATTTTATAGAGATATTAATTAACCGATAAATTAATATTTATTAATTTAAAGAGTGTTTTTGAAATTCAACGAAGTTGAATTTTGATTAGATGAATTTAAAGAGGTTACAAGCTTATTTATGTATCATATTTATTAAATTAATATAAAAAATAAATTCATTTTACTATTTATTATTAAGAAACAATGAATTGTATTTAATTATTAAGAAACAATGAATATTATTTATTTAAGAAACGATACAATGAATATTACTTAATAAGTTAAACCTCCATAAACAATGAACATTAGTAAAAATACAATGAATTGTATTTTTACTAAAAACATTCAATGTATAATGGTGATAGCATATACATATATTATAGACAAGATAAAAAACTTCTTGAAACCGTACCCAACAATGGCTTCTCATCTAAAAGGTGTCACAAAAGCAACAATGACGGATCAAATACGAAAAGCATTATGTGAGTACAAAAGAGATCATTCCACATACACTCAAAAAGATCTCCAATTGTGGCTCGATGAAAAGTTTCATTTAAAAGTTAGTCAAGGTACAATATCAAACACACTCAAACGATCATCCGAGTATCTTTCAGCTAACTTAGAAAAAGGAAAGGATATCAAGCGGCATAAACCAACAAAATTTTCAGATATGGAGAAGGTTGTTTATGAGTGGTTTCTCCAAGTACCAAGACCATGTTAATATAACCGGAGAGCTAGTTTTGGAGAAGGCAAGAGATACAATGAAACTTTAATACCCTCAACAAGATTCCGAGCACAACTTTTCTCAAGGTTGGCTTGAGAAATTCAAGCTAAGAAATGATATCAAGTCATTTCGTTGCTTCGAAGAGAGTGGTTCGGTTGATATACGGGACATGGAGAAGAAATTGGAGTCCATAAGGGAAAAAATAGACCAATTCCCTATGAAAGATGTTTTTAATATGGACGAAACTAGTTTGTTTTACAGCTTACAAGCTGATCATTCTCTTGCTACGAAGCAACTTGAAGGAAGAAAACAGGACGAGAGAAAGGCTCATGGTTGTTATTTGTTGCAATGAGCATGGCTCGAAAAAATTCTTTTATGGATTATTGGAAAATATGCAAAGCCACGTTGCTTCAAGAATGTTAATATGAACAGCTTGAATTGTCACTATCGTGCAAACAAAAGAGCATGGATAACACGTGTGCTTTTTGATAAATATATTCGTTGGTTTGACAACAAAATGCATGGTAGAGGAATTTTGTTTGTGGTAGATAATTGTCCAGCACATCCAAGAAATATTGAAGGGCTACAAAATGTTGAGTTGTTTTTCTTGCCACCCAACATGACATCAAAAATTCAACCTTGTGATGCTGGGATAATAAGAGCTTTCAAGATGCACTATCGCAGGAGATTCTACCGTAGGATATTAGAAGGCTTTGGGTTGGGGCAATCGATCCAGGAAAGATTAATGTTTTGGATGCTATCAATCTTACAATCTCGACTTGGACGATAAATGTTTAACAAGAGACAATAGTAAATTGTTTTCAACATTGCAAAATTCTTTTGAGGGATGAAGTCTCAAAAATTTAGATGAACCCACTTGTGAAAATGACATTCATGAACTTGAGGTCATGATTAATGATCTCGGTTACCGCAATAAAATGGATGTCAATAGCCTATTGGATTACCCGGATGAAAATGATACATTTTCAAAGGTCCGAAGCTTAGAAGAAATTGTGGATACCATCCTTCAAAATAATGTTGACGATGAAGTTGAAGATGATACAATGCCTTTGGAACTAGTTACACGTAAGGAAGCACTTATCGCATCTAGGACTCTTCACAATTTTTTGGTGCAATTGGAGAACACAACACTAGAACTTTTGGATGCAATAAGAAAAATTAGAAATGAACTCCAACTAGATTTAACTTTTAAGAAAAAATAGACAACACTAGAATCATATTTCACTAAATTGTCTTAGTTATATTTGTAATTTTAAAGAATTATTAATTTGTGATATTAATGGAACCATATATTTATATATAGATTTTCTGAAAATATATTATCTTATTATCTTATTCAAATTGATGATTTTTTCAACCGGCCAAGTCGGGACCAAAGAAAAATATTATTTTAGAGAGTTTATTAATTTACCGAGTATTAATTTAAAGAGGTTCTATTGTAATTAGTACATTTATTTGAGGCTTTTCCCGTTAATTCCATGGTTATGCTTCTACTATGTATACCTACTTTTTATTCTATCGAAAACCGATTCTATAGTACGGAAGCTTCTTTTTCGGCAGAAAAATGAACTCAATCCATTGAGATGCAAACAAGCAAGCCTTTCAACAAATTAAATCTCGACTTTGTTCATTGTTATGGAAACCTACGTACTCCTGAGGCAGAAGAAAAATCAGTGGTGTCTATCTATCCGCAGCAAGTTTCAAAATTAACATTTAAATGGTTGTGTGTGTATATATATATATATTAGAAAACAAAATTAAATCCTAAAATGGAAGCATCTATTTTAAGGCCGCATTTGATCCTTGTCAGCATATTCCTTCTAAATGATATCGTGATTATAAAAACATATTCGATTATGATCACATATTACGATTTAGTACAGCAGTAAAATAATGATCGTAGCAACCGATATTAAAAATATAGTAATAATTTTTAATAAATTTATTCTCATTCATATATTATTAATGGTTTTACTAATTAACAACTCTAATAATTTAATATCATACAACAATAGATGAATTTATTCCAAAAAAATTTATAATACTTCTAATAATAATATCACACAAAAAATAATAAAATACATTACAACTTTAAGGCACGTATTACAAAATATTCATCTGAAAAAAAGCCATCATGAAGGAACATAATAGCAATTATCATCTTGTTAAAGATCATAATAACATTTATCATCTTATTGTTAACGTTATGATTTTTATCCATTAAAGTTATTACTATAATTATATTGCATGTTCAAATCCAATTGCTCAAACAATAATTTTTTTTTTTAAATATAGCAACCAATATCTGTTAAATAACAACAATAGCAGCTGTTAACATTATATAACTCCGCTGATGTCATTATTTATTTGAAACAACTATAAAATTCCTATAATGACAAATAATAATAAAGAGTGCATCCAATACCGTTATATAACAATGGTGATGTTACGTAACTACTACCGTTTCAAACCATACTCGCTAGCTTCAATAGCTCTGCACTTACCATTTCTCAATCCCTCCTTTGCAAATCTACTTTAACTTGTAACTTTAAATCTACCTTAACTCGTAATTAAAGCTTGTATTAAATCCTATTGAAAGAGGGTTGCCCCTGAATAAGAAGGTTGAGGAGGGAACATTTACTCTTGCATCTTTTAATTGCCATGGAGAAAGAAGCACGCGTAGAGTAGCAGGTTTGCAAAAGTAATATCAGTTATGACATTAATATAATCACATGGCTAGCATTGCTGACCATGACTCTTTATGATATGTTTGCTCACCATCGTTAGAAATGTGAGACAAGTGGAGACACATCCCTACACTCTCTCCGAGCCTATACCTGTTCAATTGCCAACATTTGCTTGTAGGTTCCAAGAGTTTCAATCTCTCGAACTATCAGAAAGATAATGGAAGGAATCGAATTAAAACCCAACAAAAGACATGGTTAAAACTAATGAAATTAAAGGAAATGGAACAAGTTAAAATCAAAGCTCATTGGAAATAAAAAAAGAACTCGCATATAGTGGTACTTAATTCGCAAAACTTTTGAAGAAAACCAGTTGGTTGAACCAACAAACCTGTTCGTCCCTTAGTCCATTTAAATCGTCCAGCATTAAAATTTAATTATGAGTACCTAATTCAGGCATGTCACATATAACATATTCATCGAGGATTGCCACCAGCTCAACCAAACATGGTGTAACTACAATAGCCCAGAATCTGTATTGTAGCTTCATTCACCTTTTTAAGCATATACAAAAAAGTTCATCCAAGAGAAGATATTCTGACCTTTCTCTTCATTACAGTCTAGGAACCCTAGCACTAAGACATTTAGAACATGTGCCAGAACCCCAAATTTTGACATAACAATATTCTGAACTAAACAAGGAAAATTAGTAGCAGTCAAAAATTGAACTCTTCCTTTCCTGATCATAATACCAATGGCTGTGATGGTTTTGGCTACTAAATTGAATAAACTCTCACCTCTTCTTGTTGTTTTTCTTTCTTCCCTTTACTTGTTTCTCTAGACTTCTAAGCCTCTGACTAAGAACTGAAGCCGAGGATATTCTTTGGTCTCCAGGCTTTGATGATGGTTCAACAGGTAACGGGGAGGCAGGTTCCTGTCTTGCTGCCACCTCTTGTTTGAGTGCTTCAAGCAGATTGAAGGAAGAATGTGGAGCAGTACTTGCTGGTGCCAAAGGCATTTCAGGAACACCTAAGAACTTCTTGACCCCAGGAGCTTTAAGTGCTGCATATATAAACAAAGAAGTTATTTTGAAAAAAAAGTCAGTAATCCAATAGTTTCTGCATTGAGACTTTGTTGATCGCGGGAGAAAAGAACACCAGTAACCGCTGGACATAAAAGTTCCTTAGATTACCAGCAAAAAATAGAATAAAATAAAATAAAATAAAAAACAGGCATCTGTAGGACTCACCCAAGCCATAAAAGAGTGAGAATGAGTTGGATGTGACCCAATAACAAAATATGGCCTGCAAAAATAAATGGAAAGGAACTTCATCATTTGTGTTGCTTTATAGCAAGCAAAATTCCATCTCCTTATGTTGCAATCTAATGATGCCAAAATAAACATGATGATACAACATGAAAAGGAGGGAGAAGTTGAGGGGCAAGGGAAGGACAAACTGAAAGTCACAATCTCCTGATAATATGCAGAACCTGTCAATGAAAGATTAAGTTGGCTCAAAAACTATTTCACATTTGGCAGTCCATTCTCAACAGTGAAAGTTCCCAACATAGTCAGTCAGAGATGCTATTAGCCTAAGATGCCTCAGAAATGTAGAATTGTACAATGCAACAAACTAAATATAACATCATAATACATCCACACTTCCAATTGCGAGAGGATAGTCATTAAGCTCAGATAACAGATGTAAAACACAAGATATCATGCACTAAACAAGTGATGGCAAGATTACGTTAGGGAAACCCATGGTCAATGGAACTAAAGCAACTGCAAAGACCCGCGAAAGCTTTTTAATGGTGGCAGCAACAGGATTTCCTTCCAGGCCTTCTTGTGTGTTGCACTGAGAAAGGATCAGAGGTCAGATATTTTGAAGCTGACAAGAACATAAAGTGACACAAAGCAACATTGAGTAAAACAAGATGCAAAGTCGATTAATTCCAAGATAACAAGAAATATAGGAAGTGCTCCTTACTCGACTTTACTAAACAAGGACCCACCTCCACGGTTATCCAGAAGGTCAACCCCGTCAAAAACGGTAAGATATATAAACTATCTGGAGTCGTCAGATCAAGAAACCAGTATGCACCACCAATTTTAAAGGATGGTACTTTTTCCGTCATGTTTGAGATCTGCATACATATATATCAAAGACTTATTCAGATAAAAGATGGATATAAAATGAACACCAATCTCTGCAGGATGTTTGGAATATAGAAAAGCATTTTACCGCAAGGAAGAAACTGACAAAGATAGGACCTTGAATAAAGAGCCCCTTCAGTGGAGCAAGAGGATTCACACCATGTCTGCAATTTGCAAATCACAATGAACTGAAATTCACAGAAAACAAATCCTCAGAGAGAACTGTACCACAATACAAAATGGAGTTCTTTACAATAATTAAAGCCGGCATAAATACATACAATATCTATAAGCATTTTTTTCATTAAGCTAGTCTCAAACTGGAGAAACCATGCATGAAAATTGTATTAGCTACATGTTTAAATACATGGAGAGTTGCTTACTCTTTGAAAAGTTCCTTAATTTTTTTTTGGCATTCAGCTAAAGCCATGGGATCCTTATCCTGAAAGAGAGAGAGAGAGTTAATATTGTCAAGGAAGCATTTCTCCACATATTCTTAAAGCATGCACTGGTTGCATTCACATGAACAAGTCCAAAGCGAATATAGGTCTATCACATTCTTAAAGTAAAAGAAGACAGTTATATAGACTGCAATCATTCATTCAAAGACCAGGCAGTTACATGTCATATATAAGACCTAACAAGTCAGAGGTTAGGCGAAGTAGAATCAAAATACCAGGAGGCAGGATTTAATGGTAACACAATTACGACAATGTGAGTTTACCATCCAAAAGATGCTAATAATGACACCAATTAAATAGAGGTTCAGAAACATGCAGCCAAATGACGGGTGGGGGGAGGGGGGTGGGGGTGGTGGAGGGGTTGGTTCACACATAACAAGCAAGACATACTTGGAGAAGCCATCAGACCTTATCTTGCATTTGTTGCTTTATCTCTTCCAGATGTGGCCTTATGAGCTGCAGAAAAGACATGGATCATAAATGTTTACATTTAAGAGACTGATGGGAGCACAAAAATCTTCACAATTGAAAAAGTTGCAACCAGACAAAATAGTGGCAGTAAGTAAAGCAGCACAAAAGGGGTAAACACACTGCACTGCATATTTTTGCATGTCAGAATCCTGGAATAGCTTAACCATTAATCAGTTACACATAATTCTTGCCACCAAAAGCAAGTTAATCATCTACATGAAACACAGTCAAAAGCAAGTAAAAGATGATGAATCCTAAACTAGCTGTAAAATAGAAGCTGCAGGTCTTGGAAGGGCTGAGCAGTGAGAATAGAGGTGATGCTCAGGATTCTAAAGCATTAAGCAGAAGTGGCATTCAGAATTTAGTCGCATAAGTTCCTATCTATGAGTTTTAAATGTGAAGAAGTGTAATGAAAATGATAAAATAAAAATGACAGACATGGACGAAAAGAGGAAAAAAAAAAAAAATTAGAAGAAGCAATATAGGCAATCCAGTAAATAGATTAGGGCAGAGGCACGATAACCAGAATACATATGTCTTGCATTTGACTCGGACAATGTTACTTTTTACCCACTGTGGAAGTGTAACCGTCCAAGGACATCAGGTTGATAACATGCATACCACTGATATAAACAAATAAGATGGGAAGAAAGTGAAGATGCATCAGCAACTAAAACAACATACAGTGAGTTTTGCAGTGGCTTTCAGTTGATTAATTAAAAGAGGAACGGTTGCCCCTCTAATCAAAAGAGTCGTTACAATTATGGAGGCCCACCTGAAAAAGAAAACAGAAGTGGATAAATAGAATAGCTTGGTCTTATGTCACATATTATTAGAACTTCCAGGTTACAGGGAACTAAGAAACCATTGAATCAAAATACACATTAATGAGATGTTGTGCCTTAAGAACCTTTAACTTTACGACCATTGAAAACAAAACTTAATATGACCCACATGTAGATCCATGCTCTAATAGTTCTTTCAGGTTGAATCATTTTTATCCCATACCCTGATTAAGTCCCTGTTCTGTTGATGGTTGAGACATGGCCTTCGAAATCTCCCCCCACAAAAAAAAAAAAAAAGAGTAAATTTGATTCTTCGAGGAACGAAAAAGAGATCAAAATACCAGTTGCTACAAAAGAAACATCTACTTAAATTACTGCATGCACGTAAACCTGAAACATTCTAAAAGAACTGGGTTTTACAGATTCTTAGAAATTCATGTTCTGATTAATTATTGGGCTAAGATTTTCTTTCACTATCCTATCTGCCCATGTTACCAAATCACTCTTTCCGCCTTTTAATGAACTATACATTAGCAAACAGAACCAAATAGTCCAGTACCAATTGAAACCAGTGAAGGAATGCACTGCATCAATAACATGCTGGAGAGCCGCAACAGGAAAGTAAGAATCAGCAGCAGCAATAGCAACTTCATTCACTGCAGGAGCCTGAGCACCCACAGCCTCGATAGTTGTGTCTGTGAGAACATCAGCAACATCATTCATCGACTCTATGTTTTCTGATCCTCCACCGATCGTCGTTGACATATACCGACAAAAAGACACCCCAATGCTTGGCGAAAGAGAGAAATCCAAACATCTTCTATTGTGAAAGAAACTAAATACAGCCAAATTATTATTAAATCCATCGCTGCTGCTTCCAAATGACCTCTGCTTAAATAAAATACTCAATCCTTGTGATGAAGGACCCTTTTCAATAGAATTACGCTTGTGATCATCATTGTGGAGAACGTAACTGAACGAAGCATTATATCTTCGTCTAACAATGTTTGCTTTTGTCGACAGACTACGCATATAAGCCATTGATACAAAGAACAAAATTTCTGTACCAGAAATCAATAACAGACAAAATTAAAAATACAAATTATAATCACCACCATATCATACACTCATTATAAATGACGAAAAAAAAGCCTTTATTGATAAATTAAAAACAGACTTAAATAACATGATTTTCCTAAAAAAAAAAAAAGTGTTATAATTTTGTGTTAGCAATCAAATCTTGACTCAACAACATTTCAATTCTAATTAAGAAAACTATGGGTCTTTAGGCTTTTAAAAGCTAAAAAGATAAGAAATTTCAACCATTTAAGGTTCCAAAACATTAGGTACAAAATCAAAGATTGGAAATTTCAACGGGTTGGTACTATCTAACAATTTTCTCAGAAAGTAGAGGAGAATTAACAGCTTAAAAAATTAAAGTTGGAAACTTTAACCAGAAACATTGAATTGTGAAGAGAGGTCACCGTTTTCAGTGCATGAGAGAAAGAGTTTCACTTCACAGTGACAGTTCCATCGAGGTTTTTGAGCTAATCAAATCAGAGCAATTCCAGGATTTAGGGTTTAAGAGGGTAATTTTGTAGTTCTTCGCGTTGGGCTACATTTGAGTCCATGACTGGACCTAAATGGGCTCGAGTACTAAATATGGCCGAACTCTAGTGTGAAACTCATCAATTTATCGGGTTCTCTCCTCATTTATCGTGTGGGTTTTTAAACCGTAAGGAAATGACATTAGAAAGAAATTTTGTTGTGAATGAATTGACTTCGGTGCAAATTGCTTGCCTAAAACCGGAAAAAAGACCTATTCGCAACTCCAAATTAGCTAAAAGATATCCTAAGCATTAAAACAGATAATAAAAAAAATGAAAATCATATTTGGTTGGTCGAAAATCTAAGATTAAAATGAATTTTATTATTGATGTTGGAATTTTCGCGTAATTTAAGGTTACTCTTTTAAAAGAGAAGAAACAAATTTTCTATGGTCAAATTCTACTGAACTTATAATTTCAAGGAAAACAAATTGACACAACAATCAATAATTAAAAATTTTAAAATATTTAAAGAACAACTACACTCATTTCATGAGAAAGATAGAGAAATATTTGATAATATAAAATCAAATTGATTATTTATCTTACATTTGTTAATATATAATTATCACAGAGTTTGTTCATATATCATAGCATAAAACTCCAAATAAAAATGGTTTACAATTGAAGAGTGTGATCACTATTTTCTCATCAAAAAACACGTTTATTTGATCAATGAATTTCTAGGTGCACATATATATATGACCATGTTTGAGTGCACGATTGACGAAGAAGAAGAAATTGAGATGGATAAAAAGTTAGAGGGTGTTTGGCAACATTGATGTTTTTTTTTTTTCGTCTCCATGAACCAAAAACCATTATTATTTTTTCTCTATTTTTAAAAACTATGTTGACATCTAATGCATTAATACAATTAATTACTATGACTTAACTCTACAACAACAGGAGAAGGAATCCTCTCCATCGGTCTCTCTTTAATATTATGCTTCTTCATTACGTAGATCGTTATTAGGGCTACTATATTAGGGGAATTAGCTACTTACTAGATTTTTGACTTGCGTTACGTTGTGGGTTGGATAAAAATATATAAAATCATTTAAAAAAATTATTTCAGTTTAATAATCTGTTTTATGGTAAAACATAATTATATTTTTTAATAAAAAATTTTGTATTTAACTATTTCTTATTTGTATTTTTAAATTTTAGAAATAAATAATAAAGAAAATAAATTATTGGTTTCTTTAAAATTTTAACACCCACTTAATTGTTGGTTCGTTTAAAATTTTAACACCCACTTAATTGTTGGTTCGTTTAAAATTTTAACATCTAATATTATCAAGAAACGAAAATTTTTTTAAAAAAATTCAATGTTTAGGAAAAAAAAAAAAAAAAAAAGAGGAGGGGGGCAAGTCGTTTATTATTCATGTGAACGAGTAAACGAACGAAATTTAAAAAAAATCGGTGTTTCAAAAAAAAAGGGAGGGGCAAGTCGTTTACTATTTAAATGAACGAGTAAACGGGAAAAAAGAGGGGAAAGAAGGCCGGAGGGTGCTGGCCAAAAACAAAATTAATAACAATTTTTTTTTAAAAAAAAACCAAAGCATCTGTAGCAATGAACAATAATTAACACTCGTTCATTCCTACGATGAAAAACCGTTTTCTTTTAGTTTATAGTGTAATGTTATAAATAATTGCCGATGTGCCAATTAGTTAGGAGCATTAATTGTTGCAACTAAATGTTGAGGTGACAAGTAGTTAGTTTATTAGCATTGTTATGAGAGCATTAGTTAATTGCAATAAAAGAATTGAGAGGAGCGAATAATAATTCATTGATTGGTGTAATAAAAAAATACAAATACAATTTTATCTCTGTTTTCTTCCTTTTCTTCTTTATCTCTCTCTATCAAATTCATTTTGTTAAGGAACCCTTAACAAACTGGTATTAGTGCTTCTAAAACCAACTAAATTAACAATTATGATGGACAATAACAAGATGAGAGCTCTGAAAAGCATAGTAAAAGCAAAAAGAGCAAATCTAAGGCATGCGTTAAGAATTCCAAAAGAATATTAAAGGTATTAAGAAGCGGACGGAGGAGCAAACTCAACAAACACGACTAGCTTTAACGAAGACAATTAAGATAGTAATGGCTGAGAAGGAACCAAAAAATGAGCAAAGATCATCTTCAAATTTCTCAAAAGAGCAAATCAAGCTCTAACACCGGTTTATCCCGTAAATCATGGTGAGCCTCTTTTGACCTCCGAGTTCTTGAAATCTAATTACAATTCTTCAATTCCTAATGTTGAATTGCCATTATTTTGAAGAAAGAACCCGCGTGGTTGTATACGAAATGTAGAAAAAATTTAAGATGAATTTTATACATCTTCATCAATGGATAGAGATTGTTTCAATGTATTTTGAATGACGAAAAAAAATTAGTTTTGTGGTAGAAAGTGACTTAGGCAATTAGAAGGGGTTTATGAGGTAGATTTACAAGAGATTTAGTAGTAGGAAGGATGTAGTAGAAAAAATTAATAAACTTAGCCATAAAATACATATGGAAGAGTACGTAGAAAGGTTTGAAGAACTTCAATCTTTAATGAACGTGACTAACTCTTATCTACTTTAATCTTAACTTGTTCCCAACTTCATTAATGGACTTAATAAAGATATAAAACCAATGCTAAAAATTCCAAAGCCCACTACTCTAACATAAGCCTTTGACCAAATAAAATGGTAAGAAGAATCCACTATGTCATGTCTAAAAACGCCATAAACCTACCTAAAGCTTTGCCACTCGCAACACCAATAAACCATATATAAATCAGTACCAAAGACCTTATCTTTCCATAAGCAGTAATGAAACCACTATGTGCCACAAACTCGTCAATCCTAGTATACCAAGAACACAACTAGAAACATTATAGGATCAAAGAAAGAGGTAAGAATTATATCTTAGATCCGAGGATAAATATGCTTCGGCCACCAATAAATAAAACCTTGAATGTAATAAAAGAAGTTGAAGAAAGTATGAAGAGTCTATAGATATAGATGATGGTAAAAAAGAAAAAGGATTGGTAAGGAGCAAAACTTATGAGGAATATGGCTATCGGTACATGTTCTAACGATGAAGTATGCCAATAACACCATTAAAATTAAAAGAAATGATAAACATAAAGAGATTACTATATTGATTGAAATTGAGAGTACACATAATTTCATTAAATGGAGTATAGTGAAAGAATTCAATACCGTGATTGAGAAAACTACCACCTTCTTTCTAATAGTGCCTAATGATGATGTTATGAAGTGTCAAGCCAATAGTCCTAGTTTTACGTGGTTCATATAAGGGCATGAATTCAAAGCGAATTTAATGGTGCTAGATTTAAGAGGGTGCGACATGGTTTTAAGAGTAAACATGCTTGAAATGTATTCTCCTATTTTGACTTTATCAATATGAAATTGTCATTCAAGAAAAGAGGTAGGATGATTGAAATCGGTAGTATAACCGACACTAAAAAGTCTAAATTATAGTATTTGTTAGTCGATAATATGTATAAAATATAAAGAGAGATAGTTTAAGGGTTTGTTGGCTAGATTTTTTCTTTTTGTGATTCCACATAATCTACCTCATTGGATGATCTAGTTCCCAAACCATATGGTAATGGTTCATGATTTATCGAGTATTTTGCTACTATTTTCATACCTTTTAGGCTATAGTTAAAAAGGTGACATTTGGGTAATTTATAGCTCTTAGAGTTACTACTTTGATGAACTCGGTTCCATCCACTTAGTATCCACATAGCTCAACCTTTTTTCTTTTAACGCCCATTATTAGCATGTTCATTTCGGATATTTCATTTTTTCTTTTGTCATGAGAGTTGTCAAGACCAGTAGAGCTTGCATTTTTTCATAAAATTCATGACGATCTTATATATCATGTTCACTCTCTTTATGGAACTAATAAAAAATACTGGATATAGGCAATAGTTTGAGACTCAATGGATTTTTTTATTGATATTGACAACACTTATCATATCAAACAAGTCGGACATAGAGACTTTCAAGGTCGACTCTTTTTTATCACTTTTCGTGTCTTTTAATGGTAACATATTTACTCCACCAACAGTAGCATGGTTGGAAAGATAATTACTATTCATATTTAAGGTGTCTAGAGTATCCTTAAATAGAATCAAACCTTGGTCAATGAATGAGTGAACATGTTTTTTAAAGCTTAGACAATCTTTGATATTATGACCAATTATGTCGTTATGATAGTTACAAGACTCATTGGGATTATACCATTAAAGGAATGGAGGTTTTCATGGAGTAGTCATCACAGGAATTAATTGACCAATAATCATGAGGTGCTTGAAGAGATCACTTAATGAAATAGGCATAGAAGGCAATAACTCTCTATATTTCCTACGACTCCGGTTTCGTTGATTGTTTGACTTAAATGGTCTTTATTTTTA